TTTGTGTAATATTTTGCCACAGGTGTGCAATTTTCTTCCACTTGGTAACGGCGTCCTATCGCCTTCTCCTTCTACCTACTTATATCTCAATCTCAATATTCTGAATTCGCACTTGACCTGTAGATGTGTTACAAGAAGGTTACAACTGTGTATGGTGCAAAATATAGAATCTTCTCATTTATTATTATCTGGCGAGTTGGTGAATGATTGATGATTGTACTTAATGACCATAGATATAGTCCTTCCGCAAAATTATTTCATGTTTACTAGTGCCACAAAGTGAAAGATGTAATAAGATGTATCAACAAAGTGTCGAAGACATTCTTCTTTGTTGGGAACTGCTTGAACTCTGGTATCTACATTCGCTGGTAAGTTATTATTTCAATAATACCTGATAATAATTAGCTTCGACTTGCTTTCAATTTCAACACCCATTGAAAGCAAGTCGAAGCTAATAGCTAATCATTAGGTTTAATTGAAATAACTTACCGGAGAATGTTGATACTAGTTTAGGTAGTTCCCAACAAAGAATCGACACTTTGTTGATACATCTTATTACATCTTTCACTTTTTGCCACTAGTAAACATGAAATAATTTCGCGGAAGGACTATCTATGATCATTGAGTACAATCATCAATCATTTACCAACTCGAAGATCCTGCAGTCTACGGAAGTACACATACTTTTGTATCGTTACGAAATTTGTGTACAAGAAATACACAAATTTGTGTTATTTTCAGTACATTGAATTGTGAACATTTCCACAATTTTGTAATGCTAAGTTCACCCACTTACACAATTTGTGAACACATATCACACAAATTGGTGATATTTGTCGAACAAAATATTGGATGATTTTATATATTTGGTGTCACGAAAGTACATAAATTTTGTTTGGTTTTTGAACAGAATTGTTTTGAAAATTACAAAACTAAATTGTTTGATTATACAGAAAATCTCTCACACAGAATATTGCGCGAAATATACACAAATTGGTGCTGTCACCATTTTAGAAACAAACTGTGTAAAAAATCTACACAAATGTGTAAAAAGCTTACACTTATTTCTCTCTGTGTAGAGGAGCTAACGGCTATACGCCGCTTTCAATTGGACACCTCAAAGAAGATTTTTCCCTATAACTATAAAATCCTTCACAATAAATTTTCAAAATTGGTGAACGGCATAAATAGTTGATTGTATATAAGATTCTCAATTCAGAATCCAAAAATCCTATTCAGGGGCGTCACATGCAGGGGAGGGTAAGTGTAAAAATTTCTCTTCTTCTTTTGATATTCAGGTTATTGTCATTTTCGCAAATCATAAAGTTTTCAAAGTCGATTTTCTTCTAAATTGTACGCTCTATCGAAATCAACTAAGAATTTTATAATTTTCAAACGAAATCACAATAACCTGAAACTCAGAAGAATAAGGGATGTTTTTACACTTACCCTCACCCGCATGTGACGCCCCTGATTGAAATTCCGGGAATTTTGAATTCAGAGTCTCATTTACCATCAAATCTTCATGCAGTACACCAATTTTCGGAAATTTATTGTGAATGATTTCGAAGTTATAGAGAGAAAATCATCTTTGAGGTGTCCTATTCAAAGGGGCGAAGCATTTTCGGACCATTATTAATAGGAACTTCTTGCCTTATTTTCATGATGCAAGGAATACGCTCCTAGAAGGATGCCGCTTACTATTGAATCACCCTGTATATTCTGGAGGGCTATATTTCGCAGATTTCATCGTTAAGTTCTGTGGGCTGGCCAAATTTGAAATTGGATGACTGAGTTGAACATTTTCGAAAATTATATGTTTATTTTGAATCCCCCCTCATTCTTCACTTTGAAAAAAATTCAGAAAGACAATATATAGTTCTAGATTCTCCATGTTTCTCTATTTAGAATACCAGGTATTTCCTAGAAGTTCGCCTCTTGATCTCCGTTGTCCCAAGCCAACAGATTGCCGATCTAGATATCTTATAATATGATTCCAATATGGATGGATGCTTCCATAACTTCTGGAATGACAAGTTGAATAAGTTAGCGGGCAAAGTTCGGATTGTCGGGCCACCCTATGCTGCAAAGCCATAAAGCGAATCACGAATCAATTTTTGCTCCTTTCTTTCCGTTTCTTCCCTAGCCCCTATCATGTACCTATATCCATTGTCGGTGCGATTTGATGAGGGAATATGTCAGGAACGAGCTAGCAAACAAGACTTTGAGGGAGAGAATGCAAGAAGACGGAAATTATGAAGACTTGTCAAGAAGTCTAATAATTATGAATAGTGAAACATAAATCACCGATGAATGCAACAGAATAGGTATTTATCTCGGTATTTATACATCAAGGTCACATCAAGGTAGAAAACAATATCATTATTATACTCAGGAACCAAGATTATATCTCGAGGCTTCAGCTGAGGGGTATATAAGGTGCCGTGGTAATAATATTCTTCTTCTACCAAAGTGTATATTGATTTTTTTTTCACCACTAGCAATATATTTCAATCATTATATCGTTTCACAGAATAATATACTGTGATAGTTCTGTGGAACTGAAATGTAGACCTGTCACTATGAAAGCACTTCTTTTCAATTCTAATTAGTCAGCATGATAGCATATGACAAGTCGTTATTGATAAATATCTACTATATCGATTTGAGTGCCATTTCTGTGAATGACACTTTACGCCTTCAAAAGGCGAGTAAGTAATGGCAGGTTCAACAGCTAGTGGTGGAAAAATGTAGTTATTGAGTTGAAATAGATAGATGGAAAACAAAACAAGAACCGTTGAACGACAGAATAAAAGGACAGTTGAGATGGTTTGGCCACGTGTGGCGCTACGAAATTTTTTACTGAGCAAACCCAACTTATTTTGCAGTCTTCTACCTACCCTAGAGTTCCTTAATGTACTTGACACTGTTGCTTTGCCGTTTTTTGTATATTAGAGTACGGACACTAGAGGGTAGCAGTGACAATCAAACATAACCACAAACGATTTTGAAGCAAATCATATGTTTTGCCAGACAAAGACAAGAATATGTTTTTCGCTTAGATAAAGGATCCTCGCATCTTCCTTCCTCCTGGGAAGAGTACATCCATATATCTTTCTCTGTCTTTGATTTTTGTATGAGAGTGCATAGCGTCTCCTCGAGTGGGTAAAAGGGTACGATAAATTGATTATAACATTATTTCTTCTCAAAATATTGAATGATAAGGCTGAAGGACCTCAATGGAGGTTGGTATCAAGTTGGTATGTACATATATACCAACAAAATACATATACTATTCCTATGAAATAGGTCTTTTATATGTAGGTATCAAAAAAGTTCAGGATGGGGTAAAAACTGATAAATCTCAACCAATGAAACATACTTTTATTTCGTATGGAACAATTTCACTTGTACAAGAGTGGTAGGTAAAAAGTAATTAATAAATGAACAAATGATATAGCAACAATAACAGCTGATTTCAGTTAGGATGAATAATAAAGGTTCTCCAAGACCATCCAAGACATACAGAAGTAGGTATAAATGGACTTCAGCACTCGACTCACTATAGATCGCAGTTCACATTGCTAAAGGGGATTGTTGGTTTGAACCCGGCCATCAGAAAATCATTTTCAATACCAAACATAAATGATGCACTCGTTAAGCGTTCTCTTTCTGTGCTCTGATAATGTCTTGCTCGTATCGTGGTACCCAAGACCCAAGAAGTGGTTCAGAATCCACTAGGAGCTATGTAGTCGTCTAGCACTTCTCAACTACGCATGAACATGCACATCCAGACTTGGGAACTCAGCTTTGAAGAAGCGATACACGAATCTTGAATAATGTTTCGGTAATAGTTCTGAAATTTGCTAACTCTGACTTATGTATCTGAATCTTTCTGCTGTAACTTATTTTCCAACTCTCTATTTTTTTCTTCTAATTGTTTCCTGAATTCCTAACTCTCTTTCACTTGTAAACTTTGGATTTTTGAATATTCCTGATCTGAAAATTCGATTCTCAAGTCTTTTTCTTTCAAAATATGTTCGAAATGAATTTCATTATCTGCAAGTTTTTCGTATCTTGTTGGTTCTGAATTGGAATAAGGTTCTTTTCGATACTCGCTCAATTTATAAATTGTGGGTTCGGCTCTCTCTTTTCAATACGATCCTATTCTTCAACATCAAATCTTCCATTCTAACGTGTACCTGATGAGAATGCGTTGAAAAATGTTCTATATCCTACCAAGAAATTTTAATACCTCGCAAAGTTTGTGGCCTGAACCTATATTCCATGCCGGCCGCATCATATTCTGTTTCCATTTTTGTAGAATTACGTTATCCGATGGAAATTTGAATAGAGTGAATTAATTCCCGCGTGTTCTCACAGTTGGAAACTGCATAAGCTTGCATCTTTCTCCTAATTCTATCAATTTGTCAAACCTTTGAAATTTATGTCATGTACGTCCGTGTACTGCCAGTTCCTGCTCTTTCTATCAATTTATTTGTGGTTATGTCTGATTGTCAGTGCTTGTCATAGTGTCCGTATTCTAATATACAAAAAACGTCAAAACAGAGCAGTGTCAAGTACATTTAGGAACTCTAACCTACCCTAGCAAGGGCGTCAGGCTTTATTGAAACACCCTGTATATATGTTATCGTAGTAGGCTATGGAAAGTCGAATACTGAAATGATGCATACCAGGAGGTTGAACTTTGGGAGAACTGAAAAAAAAAACGCAATAAAATGATGAATGGTCTTCACTTGAAGTGAAAAACTCTATGGGCAAGAGGAACATGGAACGATGATATCAGAGAGGGGTTAATAATGAGAATGAGGACATAATATAGCAATAAATCAGGGAACTGACACAATATAGGCAGCAATAATGAGGGGATAAACGCAAGAGACAGCCGCAGTAGGGTTGAGTTGAGAGAGTGTTTTCACGATCTTCGTTTGATCGACCTCTCTGGGCTCATCAAGGAATTAATTTTTCATTGTCGGCAGCGAAAATGCTGCAAAGCGAGTAACCAATCAATTTTTGATCCTTGTCCATTCCTGCTCAGCCCTCAGCGGGTAATGGCGTGTAAATCCGTTGTCGATACGGATCGACAGCCAAAAACGTCTGGAGTGGAGCGAAGCAGGCGAGGCTTCAAGGGAAAGTGCAAAGAGACGGAAACTCCGAAGACGGGGACGAGAGGGCTGCAGATGGGAGAGTCGCAACTCGCAATATCCCGACAGGCTGCGTCGAGCGTGTCATTATGGAAGATTGCACAGCCCGCTGCCGATTAGATTATCACCGGCAGTGGCGGTTCCCGTTTCCGTTCGCTCCCGTTGAGACGGTTCGCCTATTTTCTCCATCGCTTCTACATCATCCGCAATAAACCGGGATGGGGATGCTAGGCAGGCGAGGATATTGATATTGAAGGGTGTTCGCGGCACCTGGAAGGGTAGGATATTGCGGTTGACGGGAGCATAAAGTCTGGCGAACGGCGGCCGTGATGGCTGTTCTTATACGGCCGATACTCATAACTGAGTTGTACAGATGAAAATAATACTGATGGGAGTTCAAATATATATTTTTCTCATTCCCTTTCAGAGATATTCGCAGTTTGAGGTGATTATCTGAATGCGGTTTTAATTTGTTGACTCAATTCGAATGAATACTGGACTTGCTGATTCTGATTATTTCCAAGAAGAACTTAATAAAGCTGAAGAAGCAATGAGAGTCACACATTGGCGAAGACTTCCAGGACTACGGCAGGCCACAGAACTCCTCGGCAATTTCAACCGAGGAAGATCGAAGACACTGATCAATCTCAGCAAAATTAGTCTCAAAGCAATAACGGGATTTCTAACGGGGCATTGTAGACTCAAAGAACACCTGAGGAGGCTTGGCTTAGAGGAGGACAGCACCTGCAGATTCTGCGGGGAACATCCAGAAACATCCCACCACATCTTGCTGGAGTGTTTTGCCGTACACCATAAAAGATCGAAAATACTGGGAGCATACCAGCTGTGCGTGGAAGAAATACCATAAATAGATCCCCTCAAAATCCTTAGATTCCTGAAATAATTGGAGCTTGAGGGGCTGCTATAAACAAGAAAACCTTGAGATAGCAGAATAAGATGGGGGCACAATAGATCTAATAAGATCGCAGCGCATCTGTCACCATCCACACTTATACCAATACCAATACCGAATGATTCTGATCCATCTCCTCTAGGTATAAGCAGGGACAGCCTGGACCGAGGATTAGACCTACAACTTAATATAAGTCCAAACAGCATAGTTGTTTCAACAAATTAGTCATACAATTGAATGCCTTTAACATGTTTGAATAAAAAATATGCTTCTTCCAGAGAATTCGATTTTTATTCAGATGTTTACGTCCATCAGGACCGAATATCACCAGAAGGGACCGACTTAGGAAGAACATTAATTCGAAATACCTGTACTATTTATTCAATACTCAGGTTTCCGTATATTTATAGGACGCCCTGTTTCAACCATGGTGAATAGGAATGTTAGCTCATTGACTCTGGAAATATTTTCAGCGGTATGAGTTGTGTAGTTCAGTATTTGACTGGCCCATGGGAAAATCTAAAAGATGAAATATGAAAGATTGATGTATTTATGCATAGTAAGATTCTTGATATTTTATTTAAATTAGACGGGAGTGGACGAGTTTGATAGGAATTGAACGAACCCGATAGATAATCGACAAAGTCGGTATGACTGAACGGAATTAGTCAAAATTGTACCAAAATAGATCATATTGAAGTGTATTGATCTCTTTGGTTAATTTTGAATCTATGACATCGAAAAATATCATCAGACAGATTTGGTCATGATTGGACATATTAGTTCAGAATTATACATATTTTCTCAAGATTGAACAGATTAGCTAGAACTGGACCAATTTGGATTTTCTGTGTATCAAAATTGATAAAATTTTAGCTACAATGGCTATTATATATACTGGACTGGAATTTGTCATATTGGACTGGAATTGATGGAGTTTCATCAGGATTGGAATTATTACCGACTTCTCGACCTACTTCTTGCATCAAACTACACCTCGAACTAGACTCATATTATGTTAAATTCTAGTAGATGTGAACGTGGAAGTCTATTGAGTAGAAGCTTGAAATGATGTTTGGTCGATTAAAAATTTTAGGGGATGTTGTGTTAGGGATGCCTTTCTGCATCACAGATTTTTCGGTGGGTCAAATATTTTCATCAATTCGATTCCAATTCATTCTAGATAATGATAAGTGGATGAATATTTTTCAATAAATGTTATATTTTCTTAGAATCAGATATATTATTTTTCGTTACATACAGAAAATATTGAATTATATTTTTTGATATGAGCCATCAGGAAAGTAGTTGTTCTTTGTTAGATATTTGAACAATAGGCATTTTATATGTTTTATCTTATAGATATTAAGTGTTTCCAATATTTGGCAGATATATAATTGCATATTATGTGGCATTATCCAGGAAAGTAGTTATTTTATTATTTATCAACAAAATAACATTATCTCAAATTCTTATTATGAAATGAAAACCTGTCATTTCTGAATAATCTCTTATTGGGTCAACGTTCTTTTCAAACAATGTCACTACAATGAACAATGAACACTGATGAAAATAACAATAGTGACGCGCTGTTCTTCAAAGTTCCTGAAGGAGCAGAACTTGAGGACTCCTTCTCGTTAAGTATCTAAAATCAACAGTTTGGAAATAAATAAATCGTTATTTCGGTTGTATTGGTGTTGTTTTCTGTTAGATATTTCAACAATGATTTTCCTCACAAAAAAAATCTTTAACGTTGTAGAAAATGTATAGACACTGCAAAACAACGACGTTTATCCACGACCCTGATGGCTACTATGATACACGCTCGAAAATCCCATTACATCCCGCGGAGCATTTTGCTTCCGATCGCTCCGCCGCCTCGGAAATAATCTCGATTCTGGCGTCACGTGGACCGGCGGCGTCGTAAGAAAAAGCGACGGGCGATTAACCGAATAGCGCCGATAACGAGGCCAATGCTACGATTGCTATACGGCGCCGGATGTCGGTGTTAGGGAGTTACACAAGAGTCTACCCGTTATGGAATCTTCAGGAACGATATCCGAAGCGGTGTTCGGTCTACAGGAAATTTCGCTCCTGATCCTGAAAAGAAATAATTGAAATTGCGAATCACTATCGACATCAACAATAAATGCCGCCACAGTATTTTCTTCAATGAATCACTTAAAAAAAAAGCTCTTCGTGAGTTCCGCTATTTTTGTTCCTGAATATTCCATTATTAGAGCTCAGGGCTCTGTGATGAGTCCTGCGCGCGGTGCAGAGGTGGCTGGTGTCGGCCAAGGAACGTGGGTGTATTTGCGAAGTGTTAGTCTCAGAGGCCTATCTCCTGGGGCCAAGCCCCTTATATAGGTGATCTCGCTGAGGTGACCCAAGAGGGTGGGGGAGACGATCAGTCGCTATCAGTGGTGAGTGAGTTATGGGGGGGGGATGGAGGAAAATAAAAGGTGAAAAACAAAAACCTCCTGCTCCGTGGAAGTCAGATACACAGACCACTAAGCTCTATCGCTTTACCCGTAGTAGTCACGAGTAGTCGTAGTTTCTCAATATGAAGAAGGAAGAAATATAATGTGTTTTGGGTGACATCACTGGACCTCGATGTTTGGAAGATTCGCTGGTCTAGCTAGACGCTTGTATGTTACTCTCGCTTTGCTGAGGAAGAGGTTTGGCGATTGCAGATTGGATCATCTCACGACGAGGTTTTGTGACTTAGACGCCAAGGTCATGTGATTTGACACCCCTGGATTATTTTCTTTGGGGATTTATGTGGAAGCACAACAGTAGCGCATCTAGGATTTAGTTATGGAGGGGGTAAATAGGTTGTAATATCATTTTTTCAATACAGAAATTTCGTAGATACTGAAAATGATACCAAGAACTGAAAGTTGAGACAGATGTGTGAAATTGAAATAGAAACAACTTTTTTTCGTAAACTTTTCGAACAAAATTTGATAGGTGAGCCTATTTTCAGCGAATAATTTTGAAGAATGTTACTTTATTTGACATTTATCGAGTCACGCGTGCACCGTCCGAGTAAGTCATTTTCTATCTCTTTTTGAAGCAAAACTGAATGGTCAAGTCGAATTTCAAAATTTATTATTATTGAAAGTTTATCCTATATAATTTCTGAAAGACAGTACCTATAATGAGAATAAGTAGGTAATACAGTATGAGATATCCTATTTTGTCCATCTTCTAATTCATACGTTCGACAGATGGACATAACTGCGACAGAACTTGACAACTGAACAATATGTGATCGAAGATAATCTCAATATTTGGTTCTTCCAGTTCACTTCGATTCACAATCAAGCATTAGGTAGGTGGGCAAAATGGATCGGAATATGAAAGAATGTATGTTCATACTGATTCAATATAGTTAATTCTACTGATATAATATATCGGTTGGTTCGGACGAAAAAATATCACTACTATCGTTGAATGAAATAATTCCGTGATAACAATAATTTATTTCATTTCATTTCATTTCAGTTAATTTATTTCTAATCCTTAGGAGGGGTATTTACCCCCTGTACCCCCCCCCTTGGATGCGCGCCTGAAGCACAACTCTATGCCAACAAGCCACAATCTTTGGGTCACTTCAAGGTATTGGTGGAATACAGCCGGAATGATTGCACTTGCACAGAGTGATCAAAAATTGAAGCGATCGGATGCGTCTGTGTCTACGAGCCCGTGGTGGATATATGAACAATATCTTATTTTATACAAAACTGCATTGTCCAAGCTTCGAATTGAAGCAGGAATTAAGTTGATATGTCAAACCTTTGTTTAAATTCAAAATTGAAATTCTATCATTCTCAATGAAAGAGCCTTCAGTTGTTACGCCTCGTTTCTTGTACCTATATTGAAAACTGTATAGGAAAAAGAAAATGATATGCGGCTGAAAGTGTTCAAACAAATAACAAAATCACAAATAGAGAGAAACTCACAGTCATTACCACAATATTTCATAAAATGAACAAAAATGGTAGATAACGAGAGAAAAACAACTACTTTCCTGGCTATATGCCACGCAGAGCATTGGATTACATCCTCCCGAAATCTATGCAATAATTCGTATAGACGATTAAAATCGCAAGTGTTTCCTTCCTAAACGCCGAGCTGCGTCTAAGTGGTTCAGGAACGTGTGACTACCTGCAGACCGGTTTCGAGCTGTTGGCTCTCATCAGTA